TTCTCTTCTCTCTCTCTCTCTCTCTCTCTCTCTCTCTCTCTCTCTCTTCTCTCTCTCTCTCTCTCTCTCTCTTCTCTCTACTCTCTCTCTCTCTCTCTCTCTCTCTCTCTCTCTCTCTCTCTCTCTTCTCTCTCCTCTCTCTTCTCTCTCTCTCTCTCTCTCTCTCTCTCTCTCTCTCTCTCTCTCTCTCTCTCTCTCCTCTCTCTCTCTCTCTCTCTCGCTCTCTCTCTCTCTCTCTCTCTCTCTCTCTCTCTCTCTCTCTCTCTCTCTCTCTCTCTATCTCTCTCTCTCTCTCTCTCTCTCTTCTCTCTCTCTCTTCTCTCTCTCTCTCTCTCTCTCTCTCTCTCTCTCTATCTCTCTCTCTCTCTCTCTCTCTCTCTCTCTCTCTCTCCTCTCTCTCTCTCTCTATCTCTCTCTCTCTCTCTCTCTCTATCCTCTCTCTCTCTCTCTATCTCTCTCTCTCTCTCTTCTCTCTCTCTCTCTCTCTCTCTCTCTCTCTCTCTCTCTCTCTCTCTCTCTCTCTCTCTCTCTCTCTCTCTCTCTCTCGCGCGGGACAGTTGGATTGGATTTGTTATTTGCAGTTATCACGACTTCTTTATTCTAACCGCGTTGCCATTCATCCACGGCGTGCGCGGATACCGCAGGTTTTAAGTGGGATGTGAGCATCGTGGACTGCACGGGTCTTCGCCTTCTCGTCACTTCTTTACCTGCGGCATTGGCTCGTTCATTTCCCACTACTCCATTACTGGGCGCTAATGTAGGGTTTTCTTCCTTGTCCCTGACGTGCAGATGATGCAGCTGTTCTAGCATAGCTCTCCCCGGCAGACAAGTTGACGGAAAGCGACAGACAAGAGCCGTGAGAGCACGTAAGGAATGCGTCACGATGACAAAAGGTCTTCCACGCCTCTGCAGGGCAGGCGTAGTGAGCGCCATAGTTAAAGGTCTTCCACGCCTCTGCAGGGGCAAGCGCAGTGAGCGCCATAGTTAAAGGTCTTCCACGCCTCTGCAGGGCAGGCGTAGTGAGCGCCATAGTTAAAGCGATAGTTTTGTTTTAAGAACGATCACTTGTGGTGGCCAGCAGGTACTTCTGATCGTATTATTGCATATTATTCGGGCACACTGCGAGGCCGTCATCTTTCGCGCCACCCGTGTGGATGTTTGCGTGGATCTAACCAGCAGACGTAGCCGTGCACGTGGACCGAAGACACCGCCTCTCATGAGCACAGTACAAACCTCTCATCCGTTAAGCCACGTGCTTCAAACACGCAAAGTGTCAAGTCACGGTCGGGACATGTTAGACGTCGTGGTGGCACTCTCCACCTCTCGCGAGGAAGTCGTGTCCTGCTGAGAATCGGCCCCTATCGTCCGGTGCTCGACTCGCGTGCACATCGGCGAAGCTGATCTCAGCGCTGGCGAGCAGGTCTCGTCCATCGGTTCAGAGAAAATCGAGTCGCGGCTGGGTTAGGCGCGCGCTCCTTGACGCTGAGGGTGTAGCGCAGAGCATACGACCTACGACATCTACCGTAGGTTCAGTGGAGGCTCATACGCGCCTACTAAAAGACCCGTGATGCGCGTCGCATGGAATGCGCCGTCCCAATATTCGCACCTCAGTATCAGTTATGTAAAACTTTTTATCAGCACGCGGGCGTGGCTCTACCTGCGACTATGCCATGGTTATCACTTCAAAAGAAGTTCAGTCGTTTGTTACGATTTTTCACATGCTTCACGTGAGATGAAAACGAATGTCCTCGGTCGAACACAACTCTGAAATATCGCCCCGCGGCGAGCACCGACCGATCCTGCAAGCAGGTCAGCCCGTATTGGCATGTCCTTTTTGGCTGTGAAATCCATACATATGTTTTCTGAAGTGGAAAACGTCAAATCGTTGCTCGCCTCCCCCCACCTCGGATGAGCTGGCTGAGCAATACTAAATCCTCAGCTCGCAGCGGAGGTGCTACATGTGGAGCACCAGAGGGGGAAACCATTGCCAAATTCTATGATGATCAAATGCTATGATTGATCTATGCACGATGGGAAGGTGTCGACGATATCATTGATCATAGACGTGCCCATAGGTGACCACAGCCCATGCGAGCCCACCACCTGGCCTATGCAGTATGTTCCTCTTGTGCGTGGTGCCGGCGCTGGTGGTGGCGGCCGGCCTGAATGCACGGGTTCCGACCGAGAGCCGGCAGAGCTGGGATGCCGCCGGTGCCGGCGCCGGTCTCCCATTGGCCGGCCAAGGCCAGCATTTCATGGCCAGGGCCAGCCGAGTCACGGCACTGCCATCGAGCCTTGGGCGCAGTAGCCACGTCTGAGATTAAGAGGGGGACAAATCGGCATTAGAGGGAGCAAACTGGAGTGAGGAGGGGGCAACCTGAGCTAAAATGACATCAAGTCCCCAAGGGGGATTGGGGGTATGTTCCTCAATGCTACCACAGCTACTCACCCACCCCAAATGGCTGTACCCGTGATACCAGATACCACACCACTGCACTGCTGGTAGTATTTTAGTAGCAATATTGGCCATCCGTGCATGACACCAAAATATTGCATCTCGATTTAGGTGATACGTGAACACGCTATCATGTTTGGTAGCAGCCCATCTCACTTTGGGAACGGTGCGTGTTCGCCTTCAAGGTCTGGTTATTTTTCGAGGAGTCCCAGCCGTTGGGCGGTGTGCAGCAGTCAGTCTGCCGCCCGTCGAGCTCGCGGGGGCCACTTCGAGGGAAGAAACCGTTGAGTTCAAAATGGCCGCCGTCAGATAGCCAAACTTGGTCAGCATGTTAGCAGTCATTGCCAGTCACGTACTCAGTTGGAGCATTGCCATTGGCGTAGTTTAAAGCGGCGATGACTTTGACACGTCTTAGTAGACAACATGCGATGCGGCGTGATAATTTCTGAAACTTTTAAATCTTCGTGCCTTCATCGCTCAACTCCCCAACAAATTTTACCAACTGAATGCCGCCCTGTTGCTAATGACTGCAACTCTATCATCATCGTCTCGCTAAGCGATGATGTGGCCGCAGGATCGTCTTTGTTCTTACCTCGACTTCTTGTGTTTTCGACACTTGTTGGCCGCTAATTCCGTCTATCCCAGGCGACATGTCTGGGGAACTGAGTTAAGATCAGATGACGAGAGGAGACGACACTATCGCTGACGCATTTGGTTGTCACCGGCGTTAGCAGGCCTGCGCCGGAAGCTTGGTGCCGTGTGGACTCACCTACCTGGCGGCGTGCACGGCCCGCCGCGGCCGCGGCCGCCCGGCTGTGTCCCCAGTCTGCCATATCCGAGCACCGATCCCGACGGCTTACGAGCGCGCACATCCGATACATGGCGTCCGCCGCCAGGCTGACCCGGGGGAGCGGCGCCTGGTCCAGGCGGCCGCTGCCCGCGCCTCGCCACGCCGTTTTCCCGGAAGCGGGCCCGCTGTCTCCACACGTGCACTCAACTGGGCCGCGTGACGGAGGGTGCCGGTTCGGCCGCGTGTGCGCCGGAAGCGTCGCTGACATCACGGCGTCGAGTCCGGCCGGTTCGGGTCGCGCCGGTTTGCCGGTTGTTGTGAGCCGGTGCAGCTCGACGCCGCCTTTGGTGGTGGAACCAGTCGCCGCACCGATGCGACGGGCGACCCGCGGTCGCAGCGGTCCGGTCGTCCGGCGGTGGCGGGAGTAGTGGTAGTGGTCCGGCGGTCCGGCCGTCCGGCCGTCCGGCCGTCCGGCGGTGGCGGGGGTAGCGGGGGTTCGGCGGTCTGGCCGTCCGGCGGTCCGGCCGTCCGGCGGGCCGGCGGTAGCGGCGGTAGCGGCGGTCCTGGATCGCACTAGCGATAGAAAATTGTTTCATATTTGGTCATAAGTTCAGCGCAGGCGATGAACAAAGATTGTTAGGTGCTGCGTGGACAGTCTTTTCGGAAGTTAGTCGGTCGCCGGGTATCGACGTGCGCTGGATGGCTGGAACCTTTCTCGTAATGCGTCTGTCTTCCTGCACACTCACAAATAACCGACTGAATGTGTTAAAATATGCTGGTATATACTGCAGTGGTTAAGCGGCCTGGCCCATTGACATTTTCGCATCATGCGACGTTTCTACAAGACGGAGGCAAAATGCTGTCAGACAGCTAGGTTGTCATGTGATAGCGTCGGCTGTTTAACCTTGGTCAAGGGCAATCTGGTACTGCTACGGAGTCATTCAATCGCTGGGGCTGCGTGTGACTCGGCTCCAACTTAAGGTATCCTTCAGTTAATGGGGTATCAGAAATAAAGCTATCCAAGCCCGGGGCTGTTTATGAATGATGGCATACACGCAGCAATTCGACAACTTGGGGCTGGCATAACAACATATCCCATGCTCGTGCGAGCACACAGTCAGTCAGCGCCATTCTCCCCTTTGTGTTCACTGCACCCAGGATGGCACGTTCGACTGTTGCTTGTCTTCGGCGTCTGCCGCGTCTTCCGGTTGTTTTGCACGTGTCTGCGGTGGGCGGCGCGGCGCGGCGGCCGGTGGTCAGGCCGCGGCTCGGGCGCCGCTGACCAGAGCCGCTCGTGCCGCCGCTCGTGCCGCCGCCTGACCCGCCGCTGACCAGAGCCGCTCGCGCCGCCGCCCGACCCGCCGCTGACCTCCGCCCCTCCGCAGCCGCCGACGCCATGTCCAGGGTGGACAGCGGCCACGAGACGCTCGCCGACGACGACTCGCCGACGCCGACGTACGACAGCGATGGCGGCGACCTGAACACGACCTGTCCGAGCAGCACATCTACGACCTGAACACGACCCTGTCCGAGCAGCACATCTACGAGGAGGTCAGCGGCCGGCCTCGCGCGCCGCCGCGCATCAGCAGCGCGCTGCACAACAAGGTTAGTTGGTCGGGTCGCCGCTAGACGGCTGCTGAGCAGGCCGGCCGGGGAATAACCATGCAGGCCGCCAGGTGGTGGGTTCGCGGATTTGTGAGTTTCTCCGCACCAGGGCCATCAGGGCACCAGGGTGGAATCTGCGGGTGCCGACAGTGGGACGTCGGCGACTTAATGATGAATAACCTCTGCTCGGAATCGGTCAGCGCCGCCGTGTCCCGGTCAGCGCCGCTGTGTTCCGGTCAGCGCCGCGGTGTCCCGGTCAGCGCCGCCGTGTCCCGGACAGCGCCGCCGTGTCCCGGTCAGCGCCACTGTGTTCCGGTCAGCGCCGTCGTATATCGGTCAGCTCTCATTGGATCAGGGAGTTCGATGGCGCAAATTGGTAGGAACAAAATGCCATTATAATAGTCCAACCGGGCTGGTTCCTGCACGGCGGCAATCTGGGTTACACGCGGTTAAACAAATTTGTCCTTGGGGAGTCATGACGTTTTCAAGCGGGGGTCCGTGTTCCAATGAGCGCTTTTCTCCAGGACAGCCAAACAGCGTGAAAGGTAAAATGGAATCAGCTGCACTGACGAGCCTTAATTTTATGTAGCATTTTCCCCGAGCGATGAAGACATTCATTCGCGATGGTACGTGGGGCGATGGCAGCGACACCATGTGACAGCTAAAACTACTATTACCTTCTTGTAGCGCCGCTGACGGAGGTCTTCTGGCAGTTTGCCAGCACCGGGCGTGGGAAGCTTGATAGCGTGACAAACGAAGCAAAGATAAAGAATTGTTATCCGTTTTGTTCCTTGTATAACTTTCGTTGCCCTTTTTGCCTCCTCTACATTTATAGATCAGGCAATTCATTCGCCGCACCACCGTTCCGGACAGCTCCTCGCACATATGTGGCGGCGGCTCTCATCGAACAAGACGCCAGTGCCTGTACCCGGCATGGCCTGCATCGCCAGTCGGCCAGCTCCGTCTAACCGTAGCCGACAGGGCGGCCGTGCACGTGCAGAGGCCAGCTGGCCTGCACCAGATGTCACCCGCACTGTGCCCGGTCGGCCGTGATAAGGTGCTCCAGCCTGACCGGATCGCCCATGGCTCACCCCGCGTCTTATCACCGCTGCCTCTGAATAAAAGGTCGTTCACTCGCCGGCCGCATTTGAAAGTATAAGCGTCGCTGACCGTTGCGATCAGCCTTGTGTAAATTGAGTGTTACACGACCGGCCGGCGGCGGCGTGCACGGCCCGTAAAACCGCGGCCGCCCGCCGCGCGGCTCCGCGGCCCGGCTGCAGGCCGCTGCAGAGCACGTGACCGTTGACGTCACATGGCGCCTGGCCGTCTAGTGGGCCACCAGCCGCGGATTACGTCCGTCCCCCGGACGGACGCTGAGACCGGCTGTTGCGGATGTCAGCCACACGGAGGGCGCAGCCCACGGCGTGCCGGACGCGGCACGTCGTCCATGGAGAGCTCGTGTGGCCCACCTGGCTCAGTGACAAGCTGGACGCCGAGCCCGCCAGCGCTCGTCACGCAGGCAAGGGCGGTGTGGGCGGTCGAGCCGAGCCGACCAAGGGCGGCGTGGTGAGGCCTGAAGAGGGACCCGGGCGGCCCACCGGACCTGACAATCAAAGGCTCGGATGGAGGGCATGCGCGCCCGAAGGACTGACTGTAGGTGACATAAAGATCCGCAGCCCGTAGGGCCATGACCAGAAATATTAGTCAGAGGTCCCCTGCGCCGTTTTAGGGAACCGAACGGTCGGCTTCATGTCCGTCTGAGCCCTTGAGACTTATTCCCCAAGCGGAAACGAGGTCGGGGTCCGTGATTTGCAATATCCGGGGTTCGTAACACAATGAGGGCTCCTGTGTCGGTTAGGGGCCAGAGGGCCTAACAGGGGTCCTGTGGCGACAAGTGGCCCCAAGTCGGAGCAGTTTTTGAGGGGGCCCGAAGAGGGGCCGAAGGATCTATCAAGACCAAGACCAAGGGCCTGATGGGATGGCTTAAGGGTCCGAAGAGCTAGCTTCAGGTCACATAATGGACCCCCGCCCATAGGGCCATAGGGCCGTGATCACGGATGTCAGTGAGATGATCTCTTGCACCTATAGAGACCCCCTCAGACAGAGCGTTCCTCTATTTCGACCAGAGATCACGAACAACGAACGGTCAGCTCCATGTTGGTCTGATCTCTGGGGGTCAATTCCCCAAGCAGGGACCGGCCAGGCCCGCCCGCGGCCAGGCCAGGCCTGTGGTTTACATCGGTCGGGGTCCTGTATCGTTCAGCTGCCCACAGAGCCTAACAGGGTATTCTGTGTCAATAAAGGGCTTCGAATTGGTCAGGGGAAGATTTGTACGACAGGGACGGAAACGGGAGCCCGAACAGTAGAGGCTCTCTTGCGTTGGCCGGGGCCCTCCGCCAATTGAATGGAAACAAGAACTTGTGATGAGCGCTAACAATGAGGTAATAGAAGAGTCCTGTGCTAGTCAGGGCCCCAATACCGAACCGTGGGCCCTCAAACCCTTTTCCAGCCCTGGCCCGTTAAATCCAACTGGAGTCTATGTGCCAAGTATTTGGCCACCTGCGGTGAGCAGGGATGCTGTTGCGTTAAAGACGGTTCATGCGCCGATCCGGGGTAAAGTGCGCGGGTCAGAAGGCCTCCCGCGTCAGGGACCGGGTCAGTGTGACATGCTGTATCCCTCAAGGGCCTCCGGATCGGCAGGGGATGCCACCCCCTGTGACCAGAATGGCGGCCGGAAATCACACCGCGGTGGGATAGAATGGCCCTTCAGCTCTTGACCGGGAGCAACCGAAATAAGGGGTCTGATAAGCGCTGATTGGAGTGGGTCGAAATGAGTTCAAAACGCACAAAGTCATCCCATGTTTCCCCATCCCCTGAGAACGTTCATTATTTTGCAAAATTGATTAGAGAAATAAATTCCATGTTGAGCCTGCGCGTCGAGCTCGCGCACTCAAACGCGTGAGAATCGCCAGCCATTCGAAGGTCCTCCCGAGCGTGTGAGTCACCTGATTGGCCAGCCGTTGGGGTCGGGTGACGTCACTTCCGCATGTAAGGCGGGGCGAGTGTGTCCAGTCCACATTCACCATCGACAGAGCTGGCATGGCATTGTCGCGGTATGGTGTCTAGCCAGACAAATGCTTTTTTAATGTCATATTTCCGACAGCGAGCAAAATGTGTGGTTTAAAAGGGCATCTTTTCGACTCCAGCAAACCTGAAGCAGCAGACATATTGCCAGTTCTCCGGTTCGTCTTCAGTCATAACGCCGTGTAGTAAAATGCTGCAATACTGAAGGTGCCGCTTTGTGTTACCCTCGCTCCTTACGTGGTGTCTTAATGTCTTACTTACGTATGATTAGTGCAGGAAGAATGACACCTAACTGAATCCAGAAGGCATGCACTACCTTTCTATAATGGGGTTTAAAAGCGGTATTTCGGTATGCCTGATCCTTTTTGGCAGCTCAGGCCTGACAAAACCGTTTTTATTCAAATTAGCAAACCGGTGTGGTATCTGCTGCTGATTCGTCCCTCTTTTTGCAAGAAATCCCCTCTTGTTATTACTCCGCAAAATTTTGATCCCAGCAAAATGTTTTAGGCCAGCTCATTGGGAAGTAAACGCTATTGGTACAATTCATCACGGTGATGTTTTACTTCATAGCGTTTCGGCTGGAGATGACGGGTTGAAGTTATAGGCGTAGGAAGAACAGGGGGGGGGGAGGGAGACAAGGTGACATGACTCCTTCACTTTTCAAGATGAGGGCGCGGCAGTGCCACCCCGCCCGGCTCTCCACTTCTGTCAGATTAAATTTGAGTGCAGCTTGCTTTCGCACTAACTTTAACATGCATTCCGATCTATCTAGTTCACCAGTCGTCTTCCTCAAACCGTGCTGAACAAAACTGCTTGACATCATGTTTCATGTTATTCACAGTTATGCCCAATCAGACGAAAGATTGCCAGTAGTATTGATCATTTGCTTCAACATTAACCATGAAATATCATTCCAAAGCGTTCTGTGCACGGTTTAGGCAGTCTTGATTTAGGATGCCTCGTCAAATGCCCTAGAATTATATATATATATATATATATATATATATATATATATATATATATATATGATTGCAGAAGTAATTACAGAAGATGCCTGCAGCTTAGCAGGCATATTAAATAGAGACTTAGATTTCGGTCAAATAACTCGATAATGATAAATTTACGGAAATTCCGTGAACACCCGGCAATATATCATACGTCAACTATTTTCTTACAATGCTGAATCGCGCTAAACGCCTTCAACAGCACGCACGAGAAAAATACATACCCTTGTTCGATGAATACAAAAGTACACAGAATCCACTACGTTGAAGAAGGGGGAAATCCTTGCCTAATGACCAATTCATGCCTGAGGCAGACAGCTTCCCGAAAGTTATTTTCTGCTGTGCTATGATGTAAGGGAAGATACTTTTTAAATAGAAACTGCAGCAGGCGTTCCATCTGCTTTACACATCAATAAGCGGTGGTGCTGATCCACAAACATGCAGCAAAGCAGACAATCAGTCCGCAGCTAGTCATGCGAGGAGCAGCCCGTCGAGAGCAGTGGCTTCCGGTGGCGGGCGAAAGCGGCGCTCGGACAAAGAATATCCGAAACCGGGTCATCAACAACAGATCCGTGACTTGCTTTGTTACAGGACAAACACTGGTTACATGGATTTTTTCACATTGCTTTTTGGAGATAGTGTTTGAAGCTTCCGAATTTGTTTCTGCCTAGAATGTTGCAACAAAACCTTATGTCCTGAGGACCAGTCGGCGAGATTCAGATACATGAAACCTCTGGCGCACCATGGGTCATTGATTCCAAATCAAAATTCTGACTAGCCTGTGCCCATACCATATTTTGAAACCCAAACTATGAAAGCGGGCGCTTTCCCAATGACCCAAAAGGATCATTCGCTTATGGAATTCACCTTCCCAGGGCAAAGCATGTTGATATGGACAGCTTGCTTTATGAA